ACTCGTTCGCGGGCGGCTCCGAGGACGAGGACGACGAGCCCATGGACGTCAAGCCGCCCATCGAGACCAGCAGCACCGCCGGCACGCCGCCCCCTCCGCCCACCAGCCCCCCTTGGCCCCGCCCACCCTCACGCCCGCGAACCCCAGCGCCCTCAGCAACTCCCTTTCCAGTGTGTCCGCGCCCACGCCGGGAGCCGGCCTTCCCGCGGGCGTGCTGATGGGCGGCGGGCGGCCCAACACGCCCACGAGGTCCCTGGGCGTCGTCCCGCCCACCAACACACCGCCCATCCTCGAGCCGATGAGAGTGGGCGACACTAAGGTTAATAACTCGTTCGCTGCTTTTAATGTAAGTACGGCCGCCGCCCACGTGGCTGTGGCGGGTCTGCCGGGGCTGGGCGTGTCTGTGCTGTGTCTGGTGTGTCTGTGGGTTTGTGGCTAGTTCTGGGGATGTCTGTGGGTGTCTGGGGATGTCTGGGGGTGTCTGGCTGTGTCTGGGCATGTCTGTGGGTGTGTCTGTGGGTGTCTTGGGTGTGTCTGGTCGCGTCTGTGGATGTCTGTGGGTGTCTGAGGATGTCTGTGGCTGTGTCTGGGTGTGTCTGTGGGTGTGTCTGGTCGTGTCTGTGGGTGTCTGGGATGTCTGGCCGCATCTGAGGATGTCTGTGGCTGTGTCTGGGGATGTCTGTGGGTGTCTGGTTGTGTCTGTGACTGTCTGTGGCTGTGTCTGGTTGTGACTGTGGCTGTCTTTGGGTGTGTCTGACCGTGTCTGTGGTTATCTTTGGGTGTCTGGTTGTGTTTCCTTGTGTCTGTGTGTCTGACTGTCTTTGAGTATGTCTGGCCGTGTCTGTGGATGTCTGGTTGTGTCTGTGGCTGTCTTTGGGTGTGTCTGGCCGTGTCTGTGGATATCTTTGGGTGTCTGGTTGTGTTTCCTTGTGTCTGACTGTCTTTGAGTATGTTTGGCCATGTCTGTGGTTGTCTGGTTGTGTCTGTGACTGTCTTTGGGTGTGTCTGGCCGTGTCTGTGGATTTCTTTGGGTGTCTGGTTGTGTTTCCTTGTGTCTGTGTGTCTGACTGTCTTTGAGTATGTCTGTGGATGTCTGGTTGTGTCTGTGGCTGTCTTTGGGTGTGTCTGGCCGTGTCTGTGGATGTATCTGTGGTTGTCCTTGGGTCTCTGGTTGTGTCTGCAGGTTTCTCCATGTGTCTGTGTGTCTGACTGTCTTTGGGAATGTCTGGCTGTGTCTGTGGGTTCCTGTGGCTGTCTCTAGGTGTCTGGTTGTTTGTGTCTGGTGTCTGTGTCTGTGGCTGTCTTTGGGTGTGTCTGTGCATGCCTTTTCTTTTCTTTTTTTCAGGATCTCAAGATGTGTCTAATTTTCTGTCTTTTAGTGTCTGCGGGTGTGTCAGGATTTTTCAATAGCCTGTAAAGTCTGTCTGTGGTTGAGTAGGTGTCCTTATCATCATTATTATTATCATTATCATTATATTGATGATAATTATTATTATCATTATTTTTGTTAATATTATCATCCTCTTCATTGTTATCATTTTCATTATCATTATTATTATCATTATTATTATCACATTAATTATTTATTTATTAATTATATTTTCTGTTATCTCTTCTTCTCCTCTCTTCTCTCTCTCCTCTCTCTCTCTCTCTCTCTCTCTCTCTCTCTCTCTCTCTCTCTCTCTTCTCTCTCTCTCTCTCTCTCTCTCTCTCTCTCTCTCTCTCTCTCCTCTCTCTCTCTCTCTCTCTCTCTCCTCTCTCCTCTCCCTCCTCCCTCCCTCCCTCCCTCCTTCCTCTTCCCTCCCTCCCTCCTCCCTCTCCTCCTCTCTCTCTCTCTCTCTCTCTCTCTCTCTCTCTCTCTCTCTCTCTCTCTCTCTCTCTCTCTCTCTCTCTCTCTCTCTCTCCTCTCTCTCTCATCCTCTTCTCCTCTCTCTTCTCTCTTCCCCGTTTTAAGCAGAATTTATTATCCGTATTTGTGTTATTTCTTTGCGCATGTAAATGTGTGTAAGTATGTGTATACTTCATTTGCGTGTGTATGAATGAAGTATGAATGTGTAAATGTATGTACTTATTATCATACCTATGTGCTGTTTCATATCTGTGTCAATTTGTCTTATTTCACGTTTATGAATTGATTAATTAGTTGATACATCAATAATCCATAATGTATTAGTTCATGTTGTCGTATTTGCTTCGTTAGATAAAACAGTATAGAGAAAGAGGGAGGGAGAGAGAGGGAGAGGGAGAGAGAGAGAGAGAGAGAGAGAAGAGAGAGAGAGAGAGAGAGAGAGAGAGAGAGAGAAGAGAGAGAGAGAGAGAGAGAGAGAGAGAGAGAGAGAGAGAGAAGAGGAGAGAGAAGAGAGAGAGAGGAGAGAGAGAGAGATAAGAGGAGAGGAGAGAGAGAGAGAGAGAGAGAGAGAGGAGAGAGAGAGAGAGAGAGAGAGAGAGAGAGAGAGAGAGAGAGAGAGAGAGAGAGAGAGAGAGAGAGATAAACATAATATTTCCCCTCCCAATACATTCCAAATAAGATGAAACAACAGGAATAAAAAAATCTAAACCATCCCTCCCCTCCTTTCTCCCTCCCTCCCTCCCATCCTCCTTCTGTCTCCCTCCTTTCCCCCCTCCTTTCTCCCTCCTCCCTCCTCCCTACTCCTACCCCCCCCTCCTATCTTCCCTCCCTCTTCTTATCCTTTGTTCACCATTCCCCATTCCCCCGCCGCCTTCCCCTTCCCCCTCCCCCACCTCCTTCTTCCTTCTCCCTCCACCTCCTCGCCTCAAAAAAAAGAGAAAGAGAAAAGAAAAAAGAACAAGAAAAAAATGCAGCTACCGACTACTTAAAAGAGAGAGAGAGAGAGAGAGAGAGAGAGAGAGAGAGAGAGAGAGAGAGGAGAGAGAGAGAGAGAGAGAGAGAGAGAGAAAGAAAGAAAGAAAGAAAGAGAGAGAGAGAGAGAGAGAGAGAGAGAGAGAGAGAGAGAGAAAGAAGAGAGAGAGAGAAAAAAAGAAAAAAAATGCACTACCGACTACTCAAGAGAGAGAGAGAGAGAGAGAGAGAGAGAGAGAGAGAGAGAGAGAGAGAGAGAGAGAGAGAGAGAGAGAGAAGAAAGAAAGAGAGAGAGAGAGAGAGAGAGACAAAAAAAGGAAAAAAAATGCAGCTACCGACTACCATGAAACAACCCTTTCCCACATAGATAATGATGATAGATGCACCGATAGACATATTTATCTCGAGATAATATATTGTCCTGCCCCCCCCCCCCATCCCCCCATTAATTACAAAAGTCGAGAAAAAAGGAGGAGGAGGAGAGAAGGAGAAGGAAAGAAGAAGAATTACAGGGAGATGGAGAAAGATGATGATGAGGAGGAGGAGGAAGAGGAGGAAGGAGAAGAAGAAGAATGACAAGGAGAAGGAGAAAGAGGAGGAGGAGGAGGAGGAGGAGGAGGAGGAGAAGAAGAAGACAGAAGATGCATGACAGAGAAGGAGAAAGAGAGGAGGAGAGGAGGAGGAGGAGGAGAAGAAGAAGAAGAAAGGAGAAGGAGAAAGATGAGGAGGAGGAAGAGAAGAAGAAGAAGAAAAAAAAGAAGAAGAAGAGGTACCAGAACAAGGAGGACGACGACGAGAAGAAAGAAGAAGAAGAAGAAAGGAAGAAATCAGAAGAAAGAAGAAAAAGAAGAGAAGAAGAAGGAAAAGGAAGAAAGATTAAGGAGGATAATAAGAGGTGCTGCTTAATCTATAGCCTCAAGTGAAGTCGAAGGTTGAGCGAAATAGCGTTCTGCGTCGCTAGCTTCTCAGACATTGGCGAAGATGGTGTTGGTAACAGTGATAAAAAGATGGTGTTGGTAACAGTGATAAAGAGATGGTGTTGGTAACAGTGATAAAAATGATAAAAAGATGTTGGTAACAGTGATAAAAGATGTTGGTAACAGTGATAAAAAGATGGTAACAGTGATAAAAAGATGTTGTTGGTAACAGTGATAAAAGATGTTGTTTGTAACAGTGGTTGTTGGTAACAGTGATAAAAAGATGGTGTTGGTAACAGTGATAAAGAGATGGTGTTGGTAACAGTGATAAAGAGATGGTGTTGGTAACAGTGATAAAGAGATGGTGTTGGTAACAGTGATAATCCTCAATATCGTTATTATTTCATTAACATTTTCGTCATTATCATTGTTATTGTTGTTATTGTGGTTATTATCTTTGTTTTTATTGTTGGTTTGATTATTGTAGTCATTGTTTTTATTATTATTGTTATTATTATTATTATTATTGTTATTATTATTATTATCATTATTATTATTATTATTATTATTATTATTATTATTATTATTATTATTATTATATTATTTATTATTATTATTATTAATATTATTATTATCATTATTATTATTATATTATTATTATTATATTTTAATTATCATTATTTTTATAATCATCATTATTATCATCATTATCAATATTTTCATCACTGATATCAAAACAAAAGCAATAGTCGTCATAGTTTAAATACCATATTTCCCTGATTTAACTTATGAAAATATGAGATAGAAAATTAATCCTCACTTTATAGGAATATATTTTATATAATGTTCGTAATGAATAGTTTAATTCACTTTACAATGTACACTAAGAACAGAGATATTTTATATAAAAGAATGAAGATAAAAAAAATATGTAATAACACACAAAAATCGAAGGTAAAAGAGATTGATAGATGTTAAAAATATCGTATATGATAAGCAGAGAAATTATATTAAAAAAAAAATAGATATAAAAAAATAATAATAGCACGCAAAAAAAATTGAAGCAAAAAGAAATTATATTAAAAAGAGATAAAAAGAGATTTTAAGAAATAATAATAACACACAAAAAAATCGAATAAAAAAAGTGATTGATAAATGTTGAAATATCGTACATGATAATGATGTTTCAACCGACATTAGCAATGATAATGACCTTGATAATGACAGCAATCTTAATAATAAGACTAATTATAATGCGTAGCAGCCGCTTGATCGATAAATCATGATAAAAAAAAAAAACCGAAAAGATACGTATCTCGCCTTGATTTTCGGACAGGAAATAAAAATAAAAGAAATAAGTTTCGAAATTGAATTGGGAATTGAGATTGAAACTGTTGCCTTAGCCGTAATTAGTATTACAAATGGGTACGTTCGTTGTAACGGGGATCGAGAGGGACTGTAATCTGTCGAAGATATGGAATGAAATTGATGATTTGTGAAATATTTTCGACCCGCGTCTTGTGGTTTGCGATGATTGTTTTAGAGTGTCTCGTTCATGTGGTGTTTTGTATCGTGTGGTATGTGTATGCCCATGTGGTATGTCCATGTGGTATTTTGTTCCATGTGGTAATGTGCCATGTTATTTGGTCTGTGGTATTTGTTCCATCATTGGTACCCATGTGGTATCATGTTCATGTTCGATATTGGTCTCATGTGGTATTTGGCCATCATGTGTATTCCATGTGGTATTCACCATATTTTGTTCCATGTGGTATCCATACCATGTGGTATTTGTGTATTTTGTTATGTGGTATTTTTGTATCATGTGGTATTTCATGTGGTCCATGTGGTATTTTGTGTGGTATTTTGTACCATTGTGTTCCATGTGGTATTTGGTATTTGTTAACCATGTGGTATTTTGTACCATGTGGTATTCTGTATCATGTGGTATTCTGTATCATGTGGTATTTTGTATCATGTGGTATTTTGTATCATGTGGTATTCTGTACCATGTGGTATTTTGTACCATGTGGTATTTTGTATCATGTGGTATTTTGTTACCATGTGGTATTTTGGTTCCATGTGGTATTTTGTACCATTTGGTATTTTGTTCCATGTGGTATTTTGTACCATGTGTATTTTGTACCATGTGGTATTCTGTATCATGTGTATTTTGTACCATGTGGTATTCATGTGGTATTCATCATGTGGTATTCTGTACCATGTGGTATTCTGTATCATGTGGTATTCTGTACCATGTGTATTTGTATTATTTTGTACCATGCCATGTGGTATTTTGTACCATGTGGTATTTTGTGTGGTATTTTGTACCATGTGGTATTTGTACCATGGTATTCATGTATCATGTGGTATTTTGTACCATGTGGTATTTTGTACCATGTGGTATTCCATGTGGTATTTTGTACCATGTATTCCCATGTGATTTTGTTGGTATTCTTGTACCATGTGGTATTTTGTTACCATGTGGTATTTGTACCATGTGGTATTTGTACCATGTGTATCTGTATGTATTGTATTTGTGGTATTCTGTACCATGTGTATTTGTAACCATGTGGTATTTTGTACCATGTGGTTATTTTGTACCATGTTGGTATTTTGTACCATGTGGTATTCTGTACCATGTGGGTATTTTGTACCATGTGGTATTTTGTACCATGTGGTATTTGTACCATGTGGTATTCTGTACCATGTGTATTTTGTACCATGTGGTATTTTGTACCATGTGGTATTTTGTACCATTTGTACCATGTGGTATTCTGTATCATGTGGTATTCTGTATCGTGTGGTATTCTGTATCGTGTGGTATTTTGTTTCATGTGGTATTTTATATTAGGTCAATTTTGTGCAAAATTTTGCGATTTTATTTTGATGGTAGTTACTGATAAAAGTAATGATATTCCTGAAGAAATTAGTTATCCTTAAATTGATAAAGATGATTTTAAAGATAATGATAATTGCTTAAGAAAATAATGAACAAAGGATTATTTTATTTGCACTATTGTTATTTTTCTTGATATTTATGATACGGAAATGAAATTGAGAATCACACAAAAAAATGATAATAACAATGACGACAACAATTGTTATTAGTAGATCACTGCAACATATCGACTCCAAAATATTTTTATTTCCAAAAAAAAAAAGAAATTAGTACCGTTACGTTACCCAGTAGGAAAAAACTAATGTATTTTAAAAGTTAATTGTCAGGATATAATCAATTACTGATTCCTTATCATATTAAAAAAGTATGATTTATTTTATTTGTTATTTATTATTATTATTTGTTTTATCTTTCTTCGTCTATCTCCTTTTTCTCAAATATTAATTTATTATCTTTAAAAGTTAGTGTTTTTATACTGTATTCATTTATTCATCTTCTGTCATTTATTTAAACCAGACTATTTTATTCATACTTACCGCTATGATTATTATTATTAGTTTATTTCATTGATATCATCTTATGTATCTTTTGATTCCTTTTTTCTTCTTTTTTTCTTTATTGTGTGTGTGTATGTGCGTTTTCATAAGACGATTTTATTTACTCTTACGGTATTAATTCTTTGCTTTCTTTGTGTTTGTCCTTCACTGCCCTCTCCTTTTTCCTTTCTTTGTTTGTTTTTGTTTGTTTATCATCATTTTCTTCCTCCTTCCTTCCTCATCCTCTTCCTCCTCCTCTCTACCTCCTCCTTCTCTCCTCCTCTTTCTCCCTTTCCCTCCTCTTCTTCCTCCATATTTTTCTACCTTCCTCCTCCTCCTCTCCATCCATCCTCCTTCTACATTCTCCCTCCTCCATCCTTCTCTCCTCCTTTCTTCCTTCTCTCTCCTCCTCCCCTTTCTCCTCCTTCTCCTCCCATCATTTTCCTCTACATCCTCCTCTCTTCCTCCATCCTCACTTCATCTCCTCCTCCTTCTGCTCCTCCTCCTCCGATCCTTCTCCTCCTCCTCTCCTTCTTCTCCTCCTCCTCCTCCTTTCCCCCCTTTTCCCTTCCTCTTCTTCCTCATCATTTTCTCTACCTCCTCCTCTCCATCCATCCTCCTCTACATTCTCCTCCTCCTTCTCCTCCTCCTCCTCCCGATCCTTCTCCTCCTCCTTCTCCTTCTTCTCCTCCTCCTCTTTCTCCCTTTCCTCCTCTTCTTCCTCATCATTTTTCTCTACCTCCTCCTCTCCATCCATCCTCCTCTACATTCTCCTCCTCCTTCTTCTCCTCCTCCTCCCGATCCTTCTCCTCCCGATCCTTCTCCTCCTCCTTCTCCTTCTTCTCCTCCTCCTCCTTCTTTCCACCAATATCGTCCAACTCCGCTTTCTTCTCTTACTTCTCGCCCATTCTTCCTCTTCCTCTTCCTTCTCGTATTCGTCCGTTTCTAACGTCTGGCTCTTCTTTTCCATCATTCTCTGTCTCTCTTCCTCTTTTTTTCTCCATCTTCTTCATCATCATCATCCTATTCTTATTCTTATTTGTCTTCTTTTTGTTAATATTCTACTCCCTTTCCTTTTTTCTCCTCCTCATTCTTCTCTCCTTCCTTCTTTCGTTCCTTTTCTTCCTTCTCCTCCTCTTCCTTCTTTTCCTCCTCCTCCTCTTCTCTCCTCCTCATCATAATCCTTCTCCTCTCCTTGCTCCTTCTCATCCTCTCGTCTCATCTTCCTCATCCTCCTTCTCATCCTCGTACTTTTATATATTCTACACCTCCTCATCTTCCTCCTCCTCTTCCTTCTTCTTTTCCTCCTCCTTCTCCTTTTCATCATCACCCTTTTCCTTTTCCTTCTCCATCTCCTCCTTTTTTTTCCCATCCTCATCCTCATTCTCTATCTCCTCCTTCCTCCTTCCTCCTTCTCTATCCTTCTCCCTCTCCCTTTTTCCCCATCCTCATTCTCATCCTCATCATCATCATCATCATCATCCTTATCCTCCTTCTTCCTTCCTCCTCCATCCTTCTCCCTCTCCCTTTTTCCCCATCCCCATCCTCCTCCTCCTCCTCCTTATCCTCCTTCTTCCTTCCTCCTTCTCCATTCCCTCCTTCTTCCTTCCTCCTTCCCTCCTTCTCCTCTCCCTTTTTTCCCCATCCCCATCCTCCTCCTTATCTTCCTTCCTCCTTCTTCCTTCCTCCTTCTCCATTCCCTCCCTCCTCCTCCTCTCCTTATCCTCTTCCTCCTTCTTCCTTCCTCCTTCTCTTCTTCCTCTTTCCTCCCCTTATCNGGCGCTGTTCACGTTTCGCCCGACGGGAGGAAGAGGAGAAAGAGGAGGGGGAGGAGGAGGAGTAGGAGGTGGGTGGTGGTGGAGGAGGAAGGAGGAGGAGGGGTAAAGGAGTGTAGTGGCGGTGGTGGATTTTTTTTTGTGGTTGTGGTGTGTGGAAGGGGTGGAGATGGTGGAGGTGGTGGTGGAGGTGGTGGAGATGTGGAGGTGGGGTGGAGAGGGGAAGTGGAAGTTGGAGGTAGGAGGAGAAAGGAGAAGGAGGAGGAGGAAGAAGAGGAGAGGAGGAGAAGGAGGAGGAAGAGGAATAAGAATAGGAAAAGGAATGGTGATAAAGATGATAAGGATAATAATGATAACTAATAATAAAAATGATAATAATAGTAAGAAGAATAAGAATGATAATAATGATGATAATAATAACGAGGATAAGAATATAAAGAACAAATAAAATACTCACGAGAGAGGAGGGGGGGAAGAAGAAAAAGAAGAAAGATGCGTAAGATGAAGAAACAGAGAAGAGGAAAATATAATAAGAAGGAAGAATGAATTACTACGCCATGTTTTTTTTTTTTTTATTATTACTGTTATTATTGTTATTATTGTTGCTTTGTTATCATTATCACATTATCACCTTTCCTTGCCTGCTATCAAAGGTTCATCTCTATCTATTTCTACATTATCTGCCTATGTGTATCTTTATCTATGTATGTATCGACTGGTATATCTGTCTGTCTGTCGTTCTAACAATCTATCTATATATCTACCTACTTACATTCACACAGAAACAGATAGATAAATAGATAGACAGATGGATAGGTAGACAGACAGATAGATAGACTGATACATAATACTATACATACATATATACATACATACATACATACATATATACAATATCATACATATATACATATCATATATATACATATATAACTACATATATACATACATATATACATACATACATACATACATATATACATACATACATACATACATACATAACTATATACATACATACATACATACATATATACTATACATGCATACATACATACATACACACATAATTAACATACATACATACATATATACATGCATAACACACATATAATTTATCTATCTATATATTTATCTCCATATGTTATGTAATTTATGTACACTGAGGGTGAGAATGCCATGTGGGCGGGCGGGTGGGCGGCGAGGGAGGGTGGAAGCGTTATGTGGGTGAAGGGCGGCCGGTGCGGCGGCGGCGATTGGGCGGCGAACGAGCGTGGGCGGTTCCGTTTTGCCGAGATTCCCGTCGGGGCGCCCACGGCAGGGAGGGGAATGGGGGGATGATAATGGGCCCCTGATTGCTTGGGCTTGCTAAGGTTTGTTTTGGGGTTGCTTAGGCTTGTTTGGGCTTGCTTAGGCTTGCTTGGACTTGCTAAGGCTTGCTTAGGCTTGCTTGGGGTTACCTGGGCTGACTGGGGGCTTGCTTAGCCTTGCTTGGGCTGCTAAGCTTGCTTAGGCTTGCTTAGGCTTGCTAAGGCTTGCTTAGGCTTGCTAAGGCTTCCTTTGGGGTTGCCTGGGCTTGCTTAGGCTTGCTAAGGCTTGCTTGGCTTGCTAAGGCTTGCTTGGGGTTACTTGGGCTTGCTTGGGGTTGCCTGAGCTGACTGGGGCTTGCTTAGCCTTGCTTGGGTTTGCTAAAGCTTGCTTAAGATTGCTTAGG